GAATGAGATACAATTCATTCCTTGAAAATCAATAACTTCATTGTTATTTGTTGTAGTTTGAATGTGTTCTAATGTGAAGCTGCACTCCAGGTTGAGATTGTGATGGGACTTGAGGAGGAATTCGGCATCAGTGTGGAAGAGGAAAGCGCTCAGACCATTGCAACTTTGCAGGATGCCGCATATGTTATTGAGAAGCTCATTGAGAAAAATAAGGCGTAGAAGCGATGGAAACGAGTCGAGAAGCATTTTCATTTCCTAGCCTGCTTTAGAGATAAGTACTTGGTAGACTGGTTATGTACTGGGTTGATTTGTGTTAAATCCGAACCTCGTAGTTGCGTGGTTTTACTATAAATTTAGGAATTTTCGAGTTTCTGTTGAGTTTTCGATACTCTCGTTTCTTTTCACTGGTGGAGTTCTGATCAAATGGAGAATAACCGTACAATGTTCGCCAGACCATGCTGTTGCGTAACGATTATGGATGGTTTGGAAGACTTCCGAGCAGCTTATTTTTTGAAATTTTAGAAACTTGTGCAAGACCATACTGTTGCAAATCTGAAACAAGTGAACTTAAAAGCTTTTTATTATCGTTGAACGAGTATTTTGAGAATTGTTATGTGTAGTGAATACACACAAATCCTATTGCCCGTGTCATCGGTAGCAACAGAAATTTTGGGTTATAAAGTTAAATCAAATCAAATTAACAAAAATTCATTGAGAATTAAAATTTAGGCAAAACAAAAACCCAAAATTGAGCACATTACACTATCACAAACAAAAAATTGATATAGCAAACAAAAAGTCAATACCTTTGAGAATTTGGGGTTTGACTCGGAGAGCACGGAAATGGAAGAGAGAGAGAGAGAGAGAGAGAGAGAGAGAGAGAGAGAGAGAGAGAGAGAGAGAGAGAGAGAGAGAGAGAGACTCTCAGTCTTAGGGCAATTTCCGTCTGAAATGCTGAAATTCTCATCATCTGGTAGCGGACAGAAGCGAGGACTTGTGTGGGTGGGAAAGGCGGTGGGGGAGGCGGAGAGATTTCGGCGAAATACAAGCAGAGGCCGGACATACGTTAAGACACCGCCATTGTTAGTGGTCGGAGTTGTGAGTGAGAGAAGTCAAGTCTTTTTTGCAGTTGGGGTTTCCCTCGGTTTTTTAACAGGCGCACAAGTTTAAATATAATCAAATTTTGTGACCCAATTGAGAATATAATTTTGATATGACAAAACGATTTTGGGGAAATTTTGCGAATAGAAAGAATATAAAAAGTCGCTTTTGCCCCCTAAGGCAAGGGTAACCCTTTTCTCAAAATATCAAGTATGCCCTTATGGTTGCTTCCCTGATGCGCTGGCAGACAATTTCTCTCCGACTTTAATTTTAGCCGATTATTCTTTGAACTTTTATAATTATTCAATTTCCTCCTTTCACTTTGACTTTAGTTGATTATCTCCTGAACTTTTATAATACCCAATTTCCTTCCTGACTCATGGTTGCTTACTAGGAAAAGGAGATCAATATAAATGCTGAAATTAAATTACAGCATATAAATCGTGTTAGTGTATTTGAGGCGGTTTAGTTTGAGTTTTGATTGGTTTTAGCTACTGAAATCACATATATTATGATCTCGAAGTTGCAGAGAGTAAGATAAGGGAGAGAAGAGTGAACAAAAACGAAAATGTCTCTTGAGAATCTACAGCGGATTTCTTCCAATCTATTATGCCAAACACGAAGAGAGTGTGAGCAATATAGCCGTTGCTAGCTCACACCTTAGCTAGAAGTCTAGCATGCGAGTTGCACATAACAACTCAAATTAGACAGGTGACACGATATACACCATCTAGATGTTTAAATCGTAGTCGTCCATTACACATGAATACGACTTCAAACTTAGGAACATTTCTATGAATCTAAAACAGAAACCAAGCCATATCAATCTGCAATCCTCCACTCCTTGTAGCTACGTACAGAGCTTATATTTCAACAAATCAATGCACGCATGATACTCCAGAAAAAGCAATATGACATTATACTAATAACCGAACTGATAAAAAGGAAAGAGTAATGCTTATCTATGAAGCATGGATACAGATACGGATACAGTGATACAATACGACACGACACAACGATACGAAAATCTCTAAAAATTGAGATACGATATGCTATGGATACAACAAATAAAAATATACATTTTAAAACATAATTCATCATTCAAATTCAATTTTAAAAATATACGATTATTCTTTGAACTTTTATAATTATTCAATTTCCTCCTTTCACTTTGACTTTAGTTGATTATCTCCTGAACTTTTATAATACCCAATTTCCTTCCTGACTCATGGTTGCTTACTAGGAAAAGGAGATCAATATAAATGCTGAAATTAAATTACAGCATATAAATTGTGTTAGTGTATTTGAGGCGGTTTAGTTTGAGTTTTGATTGGTTTTAGCTACTGAAATCACATATATTATGATCTCGAAGTTGCAGAGAGTAAGATAAGGGAGAGAAGAGTGAACAAAAACGAAAATGTCTCTTGAGAATCTACAGCGGATTTCTTCCAATCTATTATGCCAAACACGAAGAGAGTGTGAGCAATATAGCCGTTGCTAGCTCACACCTTAGCTAGAAGTCTAGCATGCGAGTTGCACATAACAACTCAAATTAGACAGGTGACACGATATACACCATCTAGATGTTTAAATCGTAGTCGTCCATTACACATGAATACGACTTCAAACTTAGGAACATTTCTATGAATCTAAAACAGAAACCAAGCCATATCAATCTGCAATCCTCCACTCCTTGTAGCTACGTACAGAGCTTATATTTCAACAAATCAATGCACGCATGATACTCCAGAAAAAGCAATATGACATTATACTAATAACCGAACTGATAAAAAGGAAAGAGTAATGCTTATCTATGAAGCATGGATACAGATACGGATACAGTGATACAATACGACACGACACAACGATACGAAAATCTCTAAAAATTGAGATACGATATGCTATGGATACAACAAATAAAAATATACATTTTAAAACATAATTCATCATTCAAATTCAAGTACATTTGAGTTGTTGAAGAAGAAAAGTTGGAAATCTAATCCTGCTTATATAGAGTAGAACAAGTGTGAGATTGTATTCATGGTTTTAATTAAAATGAAGCTCTCTTTGTATTCATCAACTTTCAATTATAGATGTCTCCTATTAATTTTCTCATCTTCATATCTTTTTTTCAAAGTGTAAATGAATTCTAAAAGCCGAATATGTGTATCTTAAATATAGGATACGCATATCCATCAAGTCAAAGACATGTCCATAGACCATGATACGTATCAGATGAGTATCCGAGAGTATCAGGCAAATATCTTATCCAATCAAGTATCAGATATGGATACACAATCAAACATAAGTATTTGTGCATCATAGGTGCTTATTTTCTATTTTTTTTAGTACAACGATATAGTTTACATTGAGGGAGGAGTTCGGCTAAGTCACACAATGGGCAATCTAATTTGATATTGAATTAGCCATCCACGAGGTTCGAATCTAATACCTCTCACGTTTAAGTAAAGAGAAATACCACCAGACCGTAATATTGAGTGACAGTGCTTATTTTCTATTGGTTTGCAACCAAAGTACCAAAGCGATCAAAAGGAAATAACTAGCTAGAAAGTAACCAAATTTATAAGAGGCATATACTGTGATACTGAGTTGTGTTGTGTGCACCAGATCAACGAATCTCACTGAGGAGTTAATTTAGTTCTAATTTTTATTGACAACCAATTATATATTATGCGGTTAACAGTAATTTTTATTATCGATCAACCAATTTTTGTTGCTTTGCCTTTTTTTCACCTTCTTTTTTGGGTTAATTTTGCAGCTAGTAGTAAAAGTAAAGTGCGGATAACAACAATTTTCGGGAATTGCAGATAGTATTTATTTAGCAAAATGTATATATATGAACAACTTTTGAAATTGTACGTACAATTTCTTTATATTATAAATAAAACAAATTTATTAATTATTTTTACAATTTAATTATAAAAAAAATTGTAATTAACTTTTTTATAAATTATTGTTACAATTTAATTTTAAAAAAATTTTAATTGTTGTTTTAATTTAAAAAATGTTTTCACAACCCAAAAGAAAAAAAATATGTATATTAAACTTTACGCGACAAAAGGTTTACGCAACAAAACCTTTTGTCGTGTAACAGTAAATGCCACAACCATATTCGTCGCGTAACAGTAATACGCATACGACAAATTTGTGACAATTAAATAATGTTAAAATTACTCCAATTTGTTGCATGAATGTTTACTAAACAAAACGTTTCATCGCGCAATGCTTTACGAACACAGCATTTTCGTCCCCATTAGGACAATATGACAACATACTTTTGCCTCGTTGTATTTCACACGACAAATTAAGCTCTTTGTTCTGTTACATTTAATGCGACGAATCATTTTTTTCAATGCACAATCATTTGTTGCGCGACAAATTTCATTATTTTGTCTCACAATTTTTTTTTTCATGACCTTTGTGCAACGAACTAGTTATTTCCTAAGGGCAAGGTTTTGTAGGGCAACCCCAATTTTCTGGTGGCGGGTGAGCTTGTAACATATATGGAACAATATCACACAGTTTTTGCGCATATATAGTTGCGTGCCTGAAATGACACTAAATATGGAACCATATTTCAGTTTTTTTATTTTGTTGCTTTGGTATATAAGAACTAATTAACTAAATTGTGTTCTAGAATTAAGATAATTCAAATTTCTTCGTTGATTGATGACAGTATTGGATGACGGTGTTTGTTTCCATGAACAACAACATTTCAGACAAATGGATATAATTTGTATAAATGGTACTTGATTAATAGCTCATTCCTCATATCTAATTCTCTCTCTCTCTCTCTCTCTCTCTCTCTCTCTCTCTCTCTCTCTCTCTCTCTCTCTCTCTCTCTCTATCTATCATTTAATTTATCTAGCTCTATAGATATGGAGATGGCTGACCAGAGAGCAGAAAATAATGTCGTCTCCGGCCAACCCCAAAATAGTATTGCAGACTTTGATCCTCCAAAGAAACCCAAGACAAAGAAGTTTGCTGTTGCCTGTGCCGTTTTGGCTTCAATGACGTCTATCTTACTGGGTTATGGTAATTGTTCCTTAAAACTCATGGATATTGTTAGTGGTTGTGGTTCTCTAATGATACACTCATTCTCCAGTCTTGTTCTTATTTGATTAAAAATATTATCTTACTATTGCAATGTGCCATTCTCCGTTCCTACTCTTTTTGTTTTGGAAGAAACTTCTCCACCTACGACGCATGCTTATTTCAAATTTATTTACAGATATTGGTGTAATGAGTGGAGCGTCTCTCTTCATCAAAGAAAACCTCAATATCAGCGATGTTCAAGTTGAAGTTCTTAACGGTACCTTGAATATATACTCTCTCATTGGCTCCGCCTTGGCCGGTAAAACCTCTGACTGGATTGGACGCCGGTACACCATAGTACTTGCCGGAACAATCTTCTTTATTGGAGCTCTCCTCATGGGTTTTGCCCCGAACTACGCTTTCCTCATGTTTGGTAGATTCATTGCCGGAGTTGGAGTTGGCTATGCTCTTATGATAGCTCCTGTCTACACCGCCGAGATCTCTCCGGCCTCGTTTCGTGGCTTCCTCACATCTTTCCCTGAGGTTTTTTTCAGTACCACGTTATATTATCATATAATATACTAACTATTTTTGTTATTAGCCAGGGTGATATGTTTACGTAAATATAAGCCTCTAAGTATTTGAAAAAAAGTTATGCTTGCGAGACCATATAGTTATATCACATTTCTATATCATCTCATGTAACACGTGGTGCATACAATGAACATTCAATAAGATAAATTCATTAATTGATGTGGCATTTAAACCATCACTTGCCATGTCCGAAGGTATAAAAATATGGTAAAAAAATGTGATATTCTAACAATTTCCTCGTAAAAAGTAGGGGATTCCTATTCACACACCCCTTTTTACCTCCCACACACACTTGTTAATTTTTGTCCACTGGTCTTCTTCAATTCATTCGATCCGATGGCCAAAAATTGAAAGATTCTGTGAGATGGTAAAAAATAGCGTGTGAATAGCACCACCCAAAAAATAATGCAAAGGACACCAGATATTTATAGCACATTAGTGTATCATCTCATGTGGCAAGTGATGTATGCAACCAACGTTCAATGAGATAAATTCATTAATTAATGTGACATGTACACATCACTTGCCACATTAGATAGTGCACAAATGCCATATAAAAATGTGCTCACCCTAGAATTTTCCTAAAATATCTACTGGGTGGCGCTATCCACACCATGTTTTACTTTCCATACACCTTCTGAATTTCCGACCATAAGATCAAATGAACTAAAGAATATCAAAAGACGGAAATTAACAAGAGATGTGTGAAAAATACTAATGGATGTGTAGATAGAACCACCCTATTTATTGTTTCGTAAACCTCTCAAATGCATGCACGTGGAGTTTATATTAATAGAATTGATCATTTTGAAAATATGTAGGTGTTTGTTAACGTTGGTATATTACTGGGGTACGTATCCAACTTTGCCTTAGCCAAGCTCCCAATCCACTTGAACTGGAGGATCATGCTCGGCATCGGCGCAATTCCCTCAGTTTTTCTAGCCCTCGGCGTTTTAGCCATGCCCGAGTCACCACGCTGGCTCGTCATGCAAGGGAGACTCGGAGACGCCAAGCGAGTACTAAATAGAACATCATCTTCTGAAGAGGAATCGCAGCTCAGACTAGACGAGATTAAAGAAGCTGCAGGAATCCCCAAAGACTCAAAGGATGAGGTCGTTCAGGTTTCTAAACGCAGCCAAGGTGAGGGTATATGGCAGGAATTGCTCATTCGCCCTACGCCGGCCGTTCGCCACATTTTAATAGCAGCCCTTGGTATCCACTTCTTTCAACAAGTGTCGGGTACAGACTCTGTGGTTTTGTACAGCCCCAGGATCTTCGAGAAAGCGGGAATCACTTCTTACAATGACAAGCTACTTGCAACCGTGGCTGTTGGATTTGTCAAGACCATTGCAATCTTGGTGGCAACATTTCAAGTTGATCGGTTCGGACGTCGTGCTTTGCTTTTAAGCAGCGTGGGTGGAATGGTAGTTTCTTTTACGCTACTCGGTGTGGGTCTTACGGTCGTTGATCAATCCCACAGCAATAGAAGGGCAATGCTCAATCAATGTTTAATGCACTTTATGACGATGATCAATTCCTTTGTCTCATATATTTCAGTTATATGCAACTGTACTTACATTTATAAGAATAATTTTCATTCAAACCCAAAAACTTGTTTGGTACGTAGTGAAGTTGAAAATTTTGAAAACTTTTGGTTTTCATCTTTAGTGAAACATAGATCTCAAGCAATCGCTCCAACCATTATATTAAATTCTGAACTTTTAAGAAGAATAATGCCAAGGAACCAAATTTTCAAACCAAATTTTGTAAGCCAAATGATACGATTGTTTATGGTTGGATTATTACTTAAGTGTTGATTAACATGCTTAACTCTTATTGATGATACATTATTTGGTTTGCAAAATTTGGTTTAAAAGTTTGCTACCTAGCATTATCCTTCTTAAAAAATCACTAGACACAGCACATGAAAACCCCAGTCTACCTAGACATCCATTGACTTACCCGTAAACCCTCACCCTCGCTTATCGACTCTCCCTTTATTGTTCTCTCTGATCCTAGCGTCCTTTCTAACATTTTCTAGTGGACACAAAATTTGTTGGAGAACAATTCAGAAATAAACAAAAATAACATAAATAAACAAAACTTGAAATTCTAATATTTATTAACCAAAAATACTTGTCGTGCAGAATGAAATTACACAATAAATACATAAATTAATATAAGAATAACATTGGTACTAACTTGATTATAGAAGGTAGAGGCAAGCGTAAAAGCTATGTCATTCGAACAGTATTTCCGTCTCACTCTTGTGCTTGTGGCTCTACAACGTCTGCTCGACCAGAATTCAACTACCTAATTCTACAACCTGCACTGGATTCTAGAATTCTAGCGAATTTGCTTTGTGTGCTTACTCTCTGGAATTTTCGTACGGAAGAAAAAGAGGAAGAAAGGATGATCTCACTTGGATACTGTGATTACAAATATATAGGTTGTTTCACATCCTTTCAAATACATGTTCAGCGTATTTGAAAGTACACAACTCTTTTTATGAGCAGTGTCTTTTAATCAAAACATTTTTAATTAATAAATTAATTAAAAACTTAATCCGAAAATTAAAATTAATGAATTAGATTAACTTTAAATTCCAAGGCCCCAAGTGTCCCCAAGGCTCTTGTGTTGATTAATTAATATTAATTGCATTTAGGCTATATATTATACAAGCCTAATCCACACAACCATAAGGCCCAAGCCTTCAATCCATTTCCTAATGATCAATGTTCTAATTACTAGACAAAAGCACTAAATCTATATAAAGGGCAATGAACCTTTAGTGTTTCCCGATGTGGGACACCAAAAGTCTCAAAACCCTTACAAAATCTTCATCATCAAGATCAATCGAGCGCACAAGTTCTGTGCTCACTTTCACCTTTTGGGAAGGTTCAGAGTCTCAGACATCTTATTTTCTTTGTTAAGTAACAAGACGTTCTATCAATATGTTTGGTAGATGCACTTAATATATAATTGTTTGTTCTTGTTAGAACATTTAGTTAATTTAGAATCTTCTCCGTAATTGCAAGAAGGTAAATTTTTATAGTAATTATTTTAGGAATTCGTCTCATATGGGTTTTGTCAAACCCTATATATAAATATATTATACACATTGTATCAGACAAATCAGGGAATCATATTTCTATATGGTATCATAGCAGGTTGCTCTTTGTATGAAGCTCGACGGCCACACGTGCTTTACGTCACCTTATTTGTATTAGAGTAAGGCCAGACAGACTAAATTTATGGACACAATTTTGAAAACTAAGGGACATGAAAGTTGATGATTGGTTTATTACTTACTCGTTGATAAACATGTTTATTCTTATTGGTGACACATCATTTAGTTTATAAATTTAGTCTCCAAAGTTGGTCTCCCTAGCATTACCCTGTGTGTTGTCCACGTGTTAGGCATGAAAATTCAGTGACACACTATGATCCCAATAACACAAGTTACGAGGCCGTAATATGCTGGCCGCCACTAAATTGATCACATGAACCCATCATGAGATAATGTCACAAGCCGACTTAGTGATGAAAGCCATCATAAGATAATTATGATGTGAATGAATTTGAACCAAATTGTTCTTTATTAATAATCAAAACAGTCTACTAAGAAAACCTCATCAACCTCCCCACTTGGGGACACATGTTCGAGGATGTAATCTCATCCTTATCGTATTACATCAAAGCTGATAGTAGCCTCACACAACAGTTAACACAAAATAATGTAGTGTCATATATAATCAAGAGTACAATCATGCAATTATTATACTCATTGTCAAGCCTACACTTCACTTCCTGGATTATCCTTGTTCTCACTATGTCCTGAGAGGTCGACAAAATAAAGTGTGAGTGGATTAAGTTTATCTAGTTAAAATCATTTGAATATAATAACCCTCGTTTTGAAATCATATATATAGTAAAAAACTATAAGTAATCAAGTTTATATCACATCGCTTGTCATATCAAAGAACGTAAAATCCATTCACATTATCAAAGTAATTCAAGTGTATAGCAAGCAGTTGAAGTGGCATTTACCTAATTGATGACTAGTGTCTATTAACGAATCTAGATTTTACTGGAAATATCAATAACAACACTAAACCTACGGTCGTAGCTAGCTATACAATATGTATGATGACCATTTGGTGAAAATGAATCACCAATAGTCTTAAGATATCATTCAAGTTTAACTAGATTTAAGTCTCCTCAAAGACTACTCAAGAACATAATATAATATAATATATAATATTGTAATATACATCAAATGGTAAGTAGAGCGTCCTTCCTCGTTAGGCTCCTTGCATGATTCCTTTTTAATAGCTACTAAATTAATTAATCATACATTCGAAGAAAAAAATAATCAACAAATAAAAATAAACTAATCTTCAATCAATTGGGAGAGGAAGAGATGGAGGAGAGTGTAGGGTGTTTGTGTATAAGAGAGAGAGAGATGCAAGGAGAAACAGCAGCCGCCGAGGGAAACAGCGAAAGGAGAATGGGAATATAGAAGAACGCACAAACCTAATTGGTGAAGTAGTGTTTGCCCGACGGAAATCCTCGACAGGCACCTTCACTCAGTTGTCGAGCAAATGTGTTTTTGCTCATTTTTTAACACATTGATGTGGTCCTTTGTTAAAACTAACTGAAACCGTTAGTCAATGAAACTGTCCGTCGGGCAAATTGAACTTAGCCAACGAATCAGTGTTTTGTCCCACAAGACACAATGACTTGCGCGCCAAATTTTTTGTTGGCGCCAAAATCTTGCCCTGCGACAATCAAATGTGGAAAAATTTACGCTACGAAGGATTTTTCCGCGAAAGGTACCTTTTCTCAACGACTAAAAACCTTCATCGTGCAAATGCCTTCAAGTAAATGCAGGTAAGGAGTTTTTTTGCACCAAATAGTCGCATGACGAGGAATTTCCCACGTAAACATTATGCAAGAGATTTTATCAGGTAAAGGGCTTTGAAATGGTCAGTGCACATTGAACTTGTCGTATTTAAAATATCTTAAGGTCTTGTTTTAATTTTGGTGAGATGGCCGATTCCGCTGCTCTTACAACTAAGCAGTGCAAGGGAGAAGTATTTGGGAAAGGTAATAATTAAGTTTCTGTGGATGTAATATTTATATTTTTGGAAAAACAATTTTGGGTGAATCACTTACTATGATTTAGAAATTTATGTTTTGTTTCCGTAGATACTGCAAATAAAAAAAACCCAGAGATCGGTGCAGGCTCAAAAGGAGGAAAATGCGCAACGTATGCGAATCATTTATGATGATATGAGGGGATTGAATACGATGACGAATGTGGAGCTTATGCACGACATTCGTGTACTAGTGCGGATCAACTGTTTTACGAAGCGGGCGTCTTGGAACAATTTGCCTGAGGACTTGAAGAAGTCTATGTTGGATGAATTATCAGTAAGTGTAAATTAGTAAAATCATTATTATTTTGTTAAATAGTATATTATAACGATTAATTTGTAATTATTTTTTGTGTCACAATGTAACTATATTATTTATGTTACGGACCAACGCTTGATGAAGTTGATCGATGAGATGTTCAGGACGCATTACCGGCAGTGGTGGCCTAACATCTAGCGACACGTAGAATTACAGGGAAATCCTGACAGACTAGTGGAGTAGAAGTGTTAATTAAGTGTTGTGGACGAATAACATATGTTTATATTTGTGTATTTGAGGACAATGTTTTTAATTATTTCTTTAATATATATTTGAATTAAAATTTCAGTTTAATTGATTAGTTGGTTAATTTGATTTATTTGGTTAACTTAATTTGATTTAAGTTTTTTTTTTATTTTACTTAATCAATTAGACAATAAACTCCTTATTTACATAAGTTTCAAAATTTCAAATAAATATTTAAATTTAATGTCTTTTGTCGCTTCAGCATTTAGGCGGCGAACCTGTCATCGCACAAAAATATTCGTCGCGCAAAGTGGCCAAAAAATTCAGGTAGATTTTGCGCCAATTTTCGACGGTATATGTTTTGAACAATGCAGGTTTCGTCGCACAAAGAGTTCGTGTTTATAATCAGATTGCTCAGCTGAAGAGGTAAAAATTGCAAATTTTGCAGCAACTGCCTCTGCCACAGGAAAAATTCAGCTCCTCCTTCCACTACTATCAAATCCATCCTCTAATACTCCCATCATCTCAATCTTCATCATCTCTCCCTAAATCGATCTATCCTACTCTATTCGGTATGCGTTTTTGTTTTGTATTTGAAAATTTCATTGTGAATTTGTACTAATGCCATAAAATTTGTTTTCTATAGAGCTGTTGTATACGATTATCGATTGGTGAAGAACGAAATTGGAGGTATGTTCTTTGGTTTTCAAAAATTTAAATTATTTAATTTATTTTTAAATTATGGTGTGTTAAATTGTTTGTATATAAACTATTGTGTACGTTACAAACAAAATTGTTTTTGTGTTGTACAAAGTTAATGGAAAAGCCTGCCATTGTTTGAGTGTTTCTCGAGTTTACCCGAATTAAGTCAAATGTCGTAAAAATTAAAAATTTGATAGTTATCTGGTCGTTGTGAGCTGTAGTAATGTTAATTGTCCTTCATCAGGCAAAGCCGGATGCGGTGGAAAGGGTGTCTAAGATAGTAAAGAAGCAACTTGCATTGCCAGATGACTCTGCAGTTACCGGCGAGTCAAAGTTTTCCGAACTTGGAGCGGATTCTCTAGATACGGTACATTCAACATTCATTAACATGCTACTCCGGTTTCTTTATATTTTTTCCATCTGTATTCGCAGGGAGTTCTTCTAACCAGAAAAATATACTACATTTCACAATCGTTACGACTATTGCAGTACTAGTGAAGAATAAGGAGACATATTGGTTATTTTGTGTGCAATCTTTCAAAATTCTCTTTACTTTTAACAGTGTTCGTTGCAGTTAAAAATCTTCAGACGTAGAAATCATTTTGGTTTCTCTAACGTAGTTACAGTTTCGGTATTTAAACTTCATTGTTATTTGTTGTAGTTTGAATTTGTTCTAATGTGAAGCTGCACTCCAGGTTGAGATTGTGATGGGACTTGAGGAGGAATTCGGCATCAGTGTGGAAGAGGAAAGCGGTCAGACCATTGCAACTGTGCAGGATGCCGCAGATGTTATTGAGAAGCTCATTGAGAAAAATAAGGCGTAGAAGCGATGGAAACGAGTCGAGAAGCATTTTCATTTCCTAGCCTGCTCTAGAGATAAGTACTTGGTAGACTGGTTATGTACTCGGTTGTTTTGTGTTAAATCCGAACCTCGTAGTTGCGTGGTTTTACTATAAATTTATGAATTTCCGAGTTTCTGTTGAGTTTTCGATACTCTCGTTTCTTTTCACCGGTGGAGTTCTGATCAAATGGAGAATAACCGTACAATGTTCTCCAGACCATGCTGTTGCGTAACGATTATGGATGGTTCGGAAGACTTCCGAGCAGCTTATTTTTTGAAATTTCAGAAACTTGTGCAAGACCATACTGTTGCAAATCTGAAACAAGTGAACTTAAAAGCTTTTTATCATCGTTGAACGAGTATTTTAAGAATTGTTGTGTAGTGAATAGACACAAATCATATTGCCCGTGTCATCGGTATCAACAGAAATTTTGGGTTATAAAGTTAAATCAAACAAAAACCCAAAATTGAGCACATTACACTATCGCAAACAAAAAATTGATAAAGCAAACAAAAAGTCAATACCTTTGAGAATTTGGGGTTCGACTCGGAGAGCACGGAAATGGAGGAGAGAGAGAGAGACTCTCAGTCTCAGGGCAATTTCCGTCTGAAATGCTCTCATCATTTGGTAGCGGACAGAAGCGAGGACTTGTGTGGGTGCGAAAGGCAGTGGGGGAGGCGGAGAGATTTCGGCGAAATACAAGCAGAGGCCGGACGGACGGTTAAGACGCCGCCATTGTTGGTGGTTGGAGTTGTGAGTGAGAGAAGTAAGGTATTTTTTGCAGTTGGGTTTTCCCTCGGTTTTTTAACAGGCGTACAAGTTTAAATATAATCAAATTTTGTGATCCAATTGGGAATATAATTTCGATATGACAAAACGATTTTGGGGAAAATTTGCGAATAGAAAGAATATAAAAAGTCGCTTTTGCCCCCTAAGGCAAGGGTAACCCTTTTCTCAAAATATCAAGTATGCCCTTATGGTTGCTTCCCTGATGCGCTGGCAGACAATTTCTCTCCGACTTTAATTTTAGCCGATTATTCTTTGAACTTTTATAATTATTCAATTTCCTCCTTACACTTTGACTTTAGTCGATTATCTCCTGAACTTTTATAATACCCAATTTCCTTCCGGACTCATGGTTGCTTACTAGGAAAAGGAGATCAATATAAATGCTGAAATTAAATTACAGCATATAAATCGTGTTAGTGTATTTGAGGCGGTTTAGTTTGAGTTTTGATTGGGTTTAGCTACTGAAATCACATATATTATGATCTCAAAGTTGCAGAGAGTAAGATAAGGGAGAGAAGAGTGAACAAAAACGAAAACGTCTCTTGAGAATCTACAGCGGATTTCTTCCAGTCTATTATGCCAAACACGAAGAGAGTGTGAGCAATATAGCCGTTGCTAGCTCACACCTTAGCTAGAAGTCTAGCACGCGAGTTGCACATAACAACTCAAATTAGACAGGTGACACGATATACACCATCTAGATGTTTAAATCGTGGTCGTCCATTACACATGAATACGACTTCAAACTTAGGAACATTTCTATGAATCTAAAACAGAAACCAAGCCATATCAATCTGCAATCCTCCATTCCTTGTAGCTACGTACAGAGCTTATAGTTCAACAAATCAATGCACACATGATACTCCAGAAAAAGCAATATGACATTATACTAATAACCGAACTGATAAAAAGGAAAGAGTAATGCTTATCTATGAAGCATGGATACAGATACGGATACAGTGATACGATATGACACGACACGACAACACGAAAATCTCTAAAAATTGAGATACGATATGCTATGGATACAACAAATAAAAATATACATTTTAAAACATAATTCATCATTCAAATTCAAGTACATTTGAGTTGTTGAAGAAGAAAAGTTGGAAATCTAATCCTGCTTATATATAGTAGAAGAAGTGTGAGATTGTATTCATGGTTTTAATTAAAATGAAGCTCTCTTTGTATTCATCAACTTTCAATTATAGATGTCTCCTATTAATTTTCTCATCTTCATATCTTTTTTTAAAAGTGTAAATGAATTCTAAAAGCCAAATACGTGTATCTTAAATATAGGATACACATATCCATCAAGTCAGAGACATGTCCATAGACCATGATACATATCGGATGAGTATCCGAGAGTATCAGGCAAATATCGTATCCAATCAAGTATCAAATATGGATTGACACGCCCCGACCCCGATATTCCCCGAATACCAAGGTAGGCACGTGCTGGCCGACACCCGAGGGTGACGAAAGCCATTTATTAAGTGCAAATGCTGAAAACAAGGGATAAATAAGGTTTATAAATATAAAAGAATAATTAATATGTAAATAAGGACCGTGTTCAGAGCACACCTCTAATCTAGAACACTAAAAGAAAATAATATAAAATTGAATGAAACAAAGGAGTGGGTCCTACACCGAGAGGACTCGAAGATGCCGATGCGGAAGTGCCTGGACGTCGGGATTGTATGCCTCGATTCTAAGTCCTGAAGGGGGCGCAAAACAAACATGAGTGGACCAGGTTGATATATATATAATAAAACAGTTATCAACATACTAACCCCCAGGTTTTATGAAAACACAAGTATAATGAGAAACATAGGTTTTCCGAAATCTAGCATGTCGTGCAATGTCTCAAATCATCATTCTCATAAACAATAATAATCACTAGTGAATGTCCGATATAACACTTCAGGCCCCATGCCGGCTCCCCGTCTCTGAGCACACAGTCAGAGGAAAATGCACTTCAGGCCCTTTGCCGGCTCCCCGTCTCTGAGCAGACAGTCAGAGGAAAACACATTTCAGGCCCTATGCCAACACCAAACCGTCGCCCGGGACGGACCGGATCTATCCCTACGTCCCGTAGCGGAAATGACCACTAGGTAAGTACAAAACCAGTGAACATACATATATTGAAAATCAACTTCATAGTATAAAGTCATCCATCATCTATACTATAAAGAGGTGTTCTAAACATGTTCTAAATATCATATCGTCATCCATCAGATATGCTATAAGAACATGGGTTATAGGAAAAATAGTAATAATTCAAACTAGCCTTAGTAAGCATGTTATCTCGTAAAACGTTCATAAAACATAATCGTAAAGTCATGCTTTTCTGTGTATGCAATTCTACCATTAAAACATGCATTTTTAGAAGGGGTCCACTCACAGTACTTCGCCGTCGAAAAGACATGCCATCTAGCGAAGAAGGAAACGCCACAGATAATTGCCCCTAAGCACATAAATGGTACATTTAGTCAAACTCTACTCAACCAAAAGAATTTGGGAAAACGGACATCGGAAACGGGTTCAGGACGTCGAAATTAGCCTAGGAGGGGTTCCGCACGGAAACCCAAAAAGTCAACGGTCAAAGTCAACATTGACCGCTGACCGGTCAAAGTCAAAGTCAACGCTGACCGTTGACCGGGTCAACGGTCAGACCGGGTCCGGGTCCGGGTCAACGGGTCAAACAAGTCTGGGCTTGGATCCAGGTTGGGTTAAAGGGTTTGGACTTGGGTTGGATCCGGGTTTGGGCCTAAAGGGTTTGGGTTAGGATAATTGGGTTTAGGTTTTAGGTGGGCTGAGTTTGGGCTTTAACCTCACGGCCCAATGGCCCAATTAAAAAGGGTTTTGGGCTTGGTTCACACGGCCCTAAGGCCTTTGGGGTTTTAAAGTAAACAAAAATAAAAATAAAAACAGAAAAGGTTAGGGTTTTGGGCCAAATACCAAAACAGGCCTAAGGCCCGTGGGGGAAGGAAACGGCCTGAAGGCCTGGGTGGTTTCTTGGGCTGGGTTTCCCGCCGGAGAAGAAGGCCGGAATTCGGCCGGAAAATTCCCAAGCTCCGTTGGAGCTCTAAACTCAACCAAAACATGTCATTCAATATACCAAATTGAAGCCCCGAAGATAAGGAATCGAAATATACCCTTGGTTCCTGTCATTGTGGCCGGAGTTGGCCGGAAAACAGCCTGGAAGCCACCGGTGTCCGCCGGAACTGGGTAAGATTCAAATGAGCATAACTTCTTCAATACTCAATGAAATTGAGTGAAACAAAAAGGAAAGTTGTAGTTCTCAGCGAGACGAAGAGATTGATACCTCGCACGCCGGCCAACTCGCCGTGGTTTGGCCGGAAATTGCCTCGAAAGGGGCGGTGCTCGCCGGAAAATTGGGTGTGCACTCACCCGTGCCAAAAACACTCCAAAACCTTGGAATTCAAGAACCCAAACTCAATAACCACATCTAGGCAAAGTCTAACATAAGAAAAGAAAAAGAAAAAGGGCTTACCCAATCGGAAAACAACCAAAACTCGCCGGAGGTGTTCGTGTCCTCCCGGCGCCGCGAGCAGGGGAAAGAGAGAGAGAGAGAGAGATGCAGTTGAATGGCGATGATGGTGATGATTTCCTCGAGTAGGTGTAGTTGTGGGTGTGTGTGTGTGTGTGTGTTGTCACGGGGAAGAAGAAGAGAAGAATGGAGGAGTTTTCAAAAAGAAAGGAAAAAGGTGCAGACAAAGAAAGAAAAGAAGGAAAGAAGAAAAAAAGAAAAAGAAGAAAGAAGAGAGGAGGGACACGGCAGGGGGGACAAAACAGGGGGTGGGCCCCTTGGGCTCACCAATTAAGGTTTAAAAAACAATTTTAAAAAGGAAGGTATCCCCCAAACTTAGTGAAAATACAAAAATACCCATTTTCTTCAGTAAATCCCGGGACGGGTTGTTACATGGATACACGACCAAACATAAGTATTTGTGCATCATAGGTGCTTATTTTCTATTTTTTTAGTACAACGATATAGTTTACATTGAGGGAGGAGTTCGGCTAAGCCACACAATGGACAATCTAATTTGATATTGAATTAGTCATCCACGAGGTTCGAATCTAATACCTCTCATGTTCAAGTAAAGAGAAATACCACCAGACCGTAATATTGAGTGACGGTGCTTATTTTCTATTGGTTTGCAACCAAAGTACCAAAGCGATCAAAAGGAAATAACTAGCTAGAAAGTAACCAAATTTATAAGAGGCATATACTGTGATACTGAGTTGTGTTGTGTGTAAAGGGATAAGTAGTCATAGCTAACAGCTTGTACAGCTGTCATTTATAGATGTAACAGTTTTGTAACTAATCTCTGTATTAGAGACCTAATTATGTGTAATTAGGTACTAAGCTTTGTTAGAGAACTGTATATATATTGAGTTGTAATTCTTACACATTAAGTAATGAAATACAAAGAGTCAGTTTCTTATATGGTATCAGAGCTGTTGAATAAAAGTTTGACACTGAGAGGCATCGGGACCAGTAACAAGTATGTCATCGACATACACCAAGACCATCACCAGAGAAGGAGCAGAGCGCACAAACAAAGAGCAATCAGACTGAGAATTAACAAAACCAAGAGAAAGCAAGGTGCGACCAAGTTTGTCATACCAGGCCCGAGGGGCTTGTCTTAAGCCATAAAGAGATCTATTTAGCTTGCAGACAAAGGAAGGCTTAGAGGCATCAACAAAACCAGGAGGTTGTTGCATAAACACCTCCTCTTTCAGAGAACCATGAAGAAACGCATTACTAATATCCAACTGATGAAGAAACCAATCATTTTGGACAGCAAGGGTTAATAAAATGCGAATGGTGACTGGTTTGGCAACAGGACTGAAGGTTTCTGTAAAATCAAGACCGGCTTGCTGGTGAAATCCCTTGGCTACAAGGCGAGCCTTGTACCGATCAATCGTGCCATCGGGTTTCCTTTTAATCCGGAACACCCATTTGCAGCCCACAAGGTCTCTCTCCGGCTTCTATCCCCTTCAAGGTCTCTCTCCGGCTTCTTCTTCACATACTGCTCTTCTTACCACTAAAGTTTCGTTGAAGACATGGCATCACAGACTTGGTCATCCTTCCTCTGCTATGTTTCAGAAAGTTTTAAATAAGCAGTGTCTTCCCTCCATTGGTGACAAGTCTGTATCTTTTTTTTGCACAGATTGTGCAATAGGCAAAAACCATAAGCTGTCTTTTTCTCCTAGCACTAGTTCTACTTCAACTAGTTTAGAGTTACTCCATTGTGATGTTTGGGGTCCGTCTCCAGTTCTTTCTGTTACTGGTTACATATTCTACTTGTTGATTGTGGATGATTTTACTAAATACACATGGCTGTTTCCTATGAAAGCTAAATCTGAGGTCTTTTCTCTCTTTGTCATCTTCAAGGCCTATGTTGAGAACTTGATTGGTAATAAAATCAAAATCTTGAGATCTGATTCAGGGGGTGAATTCACCAGTTCTGTGTTCAATTCATTTCTCTCCAGCAATGGCATCTCTCATCAATATAACTGTCCTCGTGACACTCATTTTCAGGCTGTTAAACGCATTCTTCGGTTTCTCAAAGGCACTATTGATCAAGGCATCTGGTTCAAAAAGGGATCTCTGCAGCTCACCGCTTTCTCTGATGCGGATTGGGCTGGCTGTGTTTTTGATCGTCGCTCTACTTCTGGCTATTGTATCTACTTCGGTTCCAATCTTATCAGTTGGAGTGCTAAAAAGCAGCCCACTGTTGCCCGTTCTTCCACTGAGGCCGAATATCGCTCTCTTGCCCTTACTGCTGCAGAACTTACATGGATCTGCAAGATTTTCAATGACATTACTTTCCCTCTTTCTCATCCCCCTATACTGTGGTGTGACAATGTTTCTGCAATTTCTTTGGCTTCCAATCCTGTCTTTCATGCGCGCACTAAGCATGTGGAGATCGATTACCATTACATTCGGGAACTTGTTCTTGCAGGTTTGGTCAAGGTGCTCTATGTCCCCACTGAACACCAGGTTGCAGATATTCATACTAAGTCCTTACCCAAGGCACGATTTCATTTCCTTCAATCCAAGCTTTCTCTGGGTTCTCCTCCGATTAGCTTGAGGGGGTGTAAAGGGATAAGTAGTCATAGCTAACAGCTTGTACAGCTGTCATTTATAGATGTAACAGTTTTGTAACTAATCTCTGTATTAGAGACCTAATTATGTGTAATTAGGTACTAAGCTTTGTTAGAGAACTGTATATATATTGAGTTGTAATTCTTACACATTAAGTAATGAAATACAAAGAGTCAGTTTCTTATAGTGTGCACCAGATCAACGAATCTCACTGAGGAGTTAATTTAGTTCTAATTTTTATTGACAACCAATTATATATTATACGGTTAACAGTAATTTTTATTATCGATCAACCAATTTTTGTTGCTTTGCCTTTTTTTCACCTTCTTTTTTTGGGTTAATTTTGCAGCTAGTAGTAAAAGTAAAGTGTGGATAAAAACAATTTTCGGGAATTGCAGATAGTATTTATTTAGCAAAATGTATATATATGAAGAACTTTTGAAATTGTACGTACAATTTTCTTTATATTATAAATAAAACAAATTTATTAATTATTTTTACAATTTAATTATAAAAAAAATTGTAATTAACTTTTTTATAAATTATTGTTACAATTTAATTTAAAAAAAAAATTTAATTGTTGTTTTAATTTAAAAAATGTTTTCACAACCCAAAAGAAAAAAAATATGTATATTAAACTTTACGCAACAAAACCTTTTGTTGTGTAACAGTAAATGCCAGAACCATATTCGTCGAGTAACAGTAATATGCATACGACAAATTTGTAACAATTAAATAATATTAAAATTACTCCAATTTGTTGCATGAATGTTTACTAAACAAAACGTTTCGTCGCGCAATGCTTTACTAACGCAGCATTTTCGTCCCCATTAGGACAATATGACAACATACTATTGCCTCGTTGTATTTCACACGACAAATTAAGCTCTTTGTTTTGTTAAATTTAACTCGACGAATCATTTTTTTCAACGCACAATCATTTGTTGCGCGACAAATTTCATTATTTTGTCTCACAATTTTTTTTTCATCACCTTTGTGCAACGAACTAGTTATTTCCTAAGGGCAAGGTTTTGTAGGGCAACCCCAATTTTCTGGTGGCGGGTGAGCTTGTAACATATATGGAACAATATCACATAGTTTTTGCGCATATATAGTTGCATGCCTGAAATGACACTAAATATGGAACCATATTTCAGTTTTTTTATTTTGTTGCTTTGGTATATAAGAACTAATTAACTAAATTGTGTTCTAGAATTAAGATAATTCAAATTTGTTCGTTGATGGATGACAGTATTGGATGACGATGTTTGTTTCCATGAACAACAACATTTCAGACAAATGGATATAATTTGTATAAATGGTACTTGATTAATAGCTCATTCCTCATATCTAATTCTCTCTCTCTCTCTCTCTCTCTCTCTCTCTCTCTCTCTCTCTCTCTCTCTCTCTCTCTCTATCTATCAATTCATTTATCTAGCTCTATAGATATGGAGATGGCTGCCCAGAGAGCAGAAAATAACGTCGTCTCCGGCCAACCCCAGAATAGTATTGCAGACTTTGATCCCCCAAAGAAACCCAAGACAAAGAAGTTTGCTGTTGCCTGTGCCGTTTTGGCTTCAATGACGTCTATCTTACTGGGTTATGGTAATTGTTCCTTAAAACTCATGGACATTGTTAGTGGTTGTGGTTCTCTAATGATACACTCATTCTCCAATCTTGTTCTTATTTGATTAAAAATATTATCTTACTATTGCAATATGCCATTCTCCGTTCCTACTCTTTTTGTTTTGGAAGAAACTTATCCACCTGCGACGCATGCTTATTTCAAATTTATTTACAGATATTGGTGTAATGAGTGGCGCGTCTCTCTTCATCAAAGAAAACCTCAATATTAGCGACGTTCAAGTTGAAGTTCTTAACGGTACGTTGAATATATACTCTCTCATTGGCTCCGCCTTGGCCGGTAAAACCTCTGACTGGATTGGACGCCGGTACACCATAGTACTTGCCGGAACAATCTTCTTTATTGGAGCTCTCCTCATGGGTTTTGCACCGAACTACGCCTTCCTCATGTTTGGTAGATTCATTGCCGGAGTTGGAGTTGGCTATGCTCTTATGATAGCTCCTGTCTACACCGCCGAGATCTCTCCAGCCTCGTTTCGTGGCTTCCTCACATCTTTCCCTGAGGTTTTTTTCATTACCACATTATATTATCATATAATATACTAAATATTTTTGTTATTAGCCAGGGTGATATGTTTACGTAAATATAAGCCTCTAAGTATTTGAAAAAAGTTATGCTTGTGAGACCATATAGTTATTTCACATTTCTATATCATCTCATGTAACACGTGGTGCATACAATGAACATTCAATAAGATAAATTCATTAATTGATGTGGCATTCAAACCATCACTTGCCACGTCCGATGGTATAAAAATATGGTAAAAAAATGTGATATTCTAACAATTTCCTCGTAAAAAGTAGGGGATTGCTATTCACACACCCCTTTTTACCTCCCACACACTCTTGTTAATTTTTGTCCACTGGTCTTCTTCAATTCATTCGATCCGATGGCCAAAAATTGAAAGAATGTGTG